AAGGTTTTATCCTAATTAAAAAAAAATTATTATTTTTTTTATCGTTAAAATATAATTTAACTTCTATCCAAAATATATTTTATGTAATAGATATTTTTAAACAGAATTAAATTACGTGAATAATAATAATAATAATATCAGAGTGAAAAACATGATCCAAAAGTATAAATTTTTCATGAGGAAATGAAGTTATAAATTTTATTTTATTTTAAAATTATTTTAAAATATTGGCTTGATTGCCGACTAATAAAAAATAAATTATATAAAATTATTTTAGAAAAAGATCTATAAATTTTTATTTTAAAAAAAAATAAATATTTTATGTTACATTTTAAAATAAATTTCCCCTAATCTGTAATTCGAAGCCAAGTTGCCTGAAATTCGAAGCCAAATAACCTAAAACTCAAAGGCAAAGTAACCTGAAATTCAAAGGCCAAATAACCTAGAATTATACAATAATTTCAGATTATTTGGTCTTTTGATTTACCCGTTTTAAGCAGATTTGATCGATTAGATAAGTAACGTTTAAATAAAATACTCGTTTCTCTACTACGTATGGCCGCAACATTTCATTTGGTAAGATCAAATTGTGTATTTGACCGGGACTTGTGGCCTCTATATGCAATAACACACGCTTGCTCGTCCATAGAATTCCAGTCATCGACAAGAGAGATGAGACTAATAGGATGATCACCACGCCTCGACCTCCTTTACGCTTAGATAACCAAGGATTATTCCAATGGGGTCAACTTCACTTTCTATTAAAACAAACAGGAAAGAAAAAAAATCTGCGAAATTTCTCGGCTTCTTTATAAATGTTTAACACGAAATTATTTCTCACGTACACGATCTTTAATAATCTTCGAATTTGGCATTTACGCCAACTCTTCTCGAAAGTTACAATTAGCAACTAATTTGAGGAATTTCATCGTTTAATTTAATTAAATTTTTTTTAAATCAGAGATTTTATTCAATTATAAACAATATGGAGAAGTAGGCCTAATTGATTTTTGTCGTTACGTTAAATAACCGCTTAATGTAAAGTTAATATTTTTGCAAAAATTTAATGTACGTATTTATATAAAATTTAAAAGAAATATTCAATTTAGTGGGAAATTTTCTTCAAATACAATAATGCGTTTAGTTAGTGAAATAGCCGAGAGATGGCACTAGCTTAATTTCATGTTTATTTCTTTATTTTCACTATAATTTTGTTAATTTTTATTCGAGTAAATTTTTCTACAGCAATAAACTCTTAATTAGAATTAATAATAAATAAAATAAACATTTTTTAAAACAATTTAATCCTCTCAATTAACGCTTTCTTCCCTCCCAATTAAGAGGGAAGAAAGATTTACGTATAAAACAGTCAAAATTTTGAATAAAATTTAGAAAAGTTAAAAGTAATAATACATAAATATTTTTATAAAAAAAAAGTTATTCTAAAATTCCGTGAAATTTTTTCTCTGATTTCTTTTGTGTGTGATCTATTCATCAACCATTTTCGTTGAGAGCTTTTACATCTATATGTAGGTCTCATTCGTTATGTCATTCTGCCTTGCGTCACTTTTCTTTAAAAAAATAAAATAAAATAAAAATAAAATAAAAAATTTACTTTACTTTTCACTATACAAATTTAGAAGGAATTGTCATTTTTCTTTAGATTAATGTTATCAGCATTCCCATCAATACAGTGCAAAATATTTCATGCATTCATTGTTCTGATTATGAAATGAAGAAAGAATTTATCATATTTTTGTATTATAAAAACTTAAAATAACTATTAAAGCACTGAAATTCAATTATTATTACTACTATTATTCATTTTTTTTCTTTAAATTTTAATCTTAATTGCTCTACGAAAAAAAATTTACATTATTATCGTGTAATAATTTAAATTTTTAAACGCTTCGTCTTAATTGGTCGTTTCCCATTGAATTCGACCAATTAACTTAAACGACGTCTTATGAAAGAGCCCGATTGGATTAATTTAAAAATTCAAAAAATTACACGTAATTGGCGGATTGGAAAATTTCGAATTGGTTACAGAATTGTTAGCATTTATAGAGAAATATAATTGGTAAAACCTAAACAAAAGAAAATTTTATGTAAAAATTTAATTGGTTGACTTATAAAAGAGAAATATATATATATATTTTTTAAATTTATTTGAAAGATTTCATGTGATTTGAAATAACAAGCTATGATTGGATTAATTATAAACTATATTGTATGTGATTGATCAATTTAAACATTTCTAAATCGAGCTATTTAAAGGTTAGGATGGTCATAAGCCAAAATGGTAAGGTTGATTTTACAATATTGATGATAATTGATCGACTGAAAATTTAAATGACATCAATTTTATGGAACAATGATTGATCGGAATTGTGGGGAAAATGCGCGGTTCGTATTAACTTGAATTTTAACGAATATAATCTAAAAATAAAAGCAGAAGAAAGGAAATAAACTTTTTTTAAAAAAAACGAAGAAAGTCTCACTTCAAATAAACACAAACGTTTTATATACGAATTGTCGACAATTATAATTCAGCTATCGGAATTCCGGTTGACCTGATTTGACCTCAGTCTCCGTGAATTCGGAATCAACCAGATCTACGATGTCTTTTCCGATCTCATAACCGATCGTTCGCTGACTAACTTACCGGAAATGTAGTAAGCATCAGGTGCAATAACAAAATTTCTAAATTTTCTGGTCAAATTCTTGAATCGAATACGGTAAGATTGAGATGACAAACGATATACCTAATTGTTTGGGATGGTTGAACAATTATTTAGAGACAGTCTCACAGGTTTTCGGCTCATAAACGGCATTATATAAACGGTTAGTAGAAAATAAATCGTCCATTGAAATAAAAAATTCGGTAACTTTCATCATTCGTACGTAAAAGTCGCGGGTGACGTCACTTCTTTTTCGTGTAGCCGATTTAGCCACTACTTTACACAATATGTGCCATAACTGTGTTTACTTAGTTTTAATTAATTTTTAAAAATTTCTTAACACTATCTATCTACACTTTAACCGAACTAGCACCATGTATACATCTGTGTTTCGAGATTAATTTAATAAAAATTTCCTTAAAGATCTTTTTACAATTTTACGTAAGTAAAAAGCAACTCGAAATTTAGTAGAAACGTCAACGAGGTGTTTCATAGAACAGATACAATATTATGAATGAGTATTATAAGTTACTAGAACATGAGTAAATTAATAGGAATTTTCTTTTAAATTGCATCAACTTCTATAAAACATTTTGCAGAATTTCTACCTAATCAAATCGCATTGTGATCCGATATATCACGTCATTTAAAAAAGACTTAAGAAGAAAAACTCAAATTCTTGACATCACGCAAACAGTCGGACAGTGGAATGTCGTCATACCCACTATTAAAACATCTACTCGGTCACGATTTTCTATGGTAACGAAATTATTATGGCAACCATGTTGCTTATATTCATTCTTCTCATCTGGAAATAAAAATTTGTATTAGAAACATTTATATATATATTTATAAAAAGAAAATAGGAAAAAAAAAGTCACACGCATATACGTATAATGCTATAATGAAAGAAGGTACGAACCAGTACCGATATCTTCGTCACAGGAAGCGAATTTAATTATGCGAAAAATCGCCGGAAGAAAGCGACTATGACGTATTTACAATTCTTTGATGTAACTGATGACGAATTCTGATGATGTCACAACGGTAATACTTATTTTGAATACATATTTTCGAAGAATTCTGCGGCCTTTGTATTTAATAAAATCGAATAATAAAGTTTTATTTTAGAAACCGCAAAGTATATTTAAATGCTAATTAAGCAGGAAACGTTCTGTTTTTTTTTATTTATTATTTTTTAAAATATAAATTAATTGCAATATTTATTTTTAAAGTGTTAAAAATATATATTTTCGATAGAATATAAAACCGCTTCGGCTAAAATTGCATATTTGGAATTCTTTAATTAAAAATTGTTTATACCGGCATAAAAACCGACACTTTTGTAAATATCGGTATCATGTTTTGGCCGTTACGTTTTAAAGAGAAGTTTGAAAAATAATTCTTATTAAAATTAAATAAAACGTGATCCGTATTGAGATCCACTAAGCCAAAACTAATCGTCTCAGTCAAATGAGGAACGCCGACGCCACCCACCCCTACTCAGTTTAGGAACGTAAGGTTACTATGACGACAAGAAACGAGCATGCGCCTTGGCATCATAGTAAAAGAAAACAAGAAAATAAGGAAAGAAAAAAAAACACACAAGACGAACACTGCGTCTGGCTTACGCAGCGTTCGTCTGCTGTAAGCAGCGACATCTGTCGGACGCGTTTTCCCGAAATTTCGTGACGTCACGTCGAGAGAGCGAGCGATTCAGAGAGAGAGAGAGAGAGAGATATCTGCTAGAGAAGTTAAAGGTCTTCTCGACGCGTCGTTTTTTCCTCGATAGCGGGTGAACGGAACGAAAAACGAAAAGGAACAGGGGCGATGGTGCAAGATGAGGTAGCCGAGAAGGTAAGTCGGATGTCTGCATTGCTGTAACGCTGTTTAGAGCCACTATTCGGCAGCTTGCCAGACGGGTCAACAGCCAGAGACGGGGAGGGTGTGGCGACGAGGGAATTTGCTGCGACTGTGAATGGAACGCATGCTGAGCCGATAGATACACGAATATCGCTTATTTTTCTCTATATTGTGAACAATTCGCTACGCCCCTCGCTTTAACGATTAATTACCATATACGAGTTTTTAATGATGTCGATGAATTTTCAAAAATAAATATTTAAAAAAATAAAAGAAAAAGCAAATTATTAATAATAATAATCGCTATCTCTGGGGAGAGAATTAAATATTATTATAAATAATAATTGCGTTATAATATTAATTAAATTATCTTAATTAAAAATATATATATATGTATGTGCGTGTGTATATATAAAAATTTCAATTCGTAAATTTTTCGTTAAAATTATAATTAAAATTATTTCTTTATTTTTATGATTTTTTTCATTATTATTTGCGATAATTTAAGAAAGTTAAATAATCGAATAATCAAACTTTATTTTGTTATAATTATAAGTAAACCAGGCGTCGTCTGCTACCGTGTTGTCATCACAAATTGCAATTTGAATTTCTTAGAAGGAAATTAAATTTAATAGATATTTTTTATTATTATTATCGATTCTTATAGGAAACGAAAGGGAAAAAAATACACCAAATAATAAATACGAATTACTTATTTATTGGTTTCGTATATTTTTATAAAGTAGAGAAACAAGATTACAAAATTTTGTTGTTCCGCAGACGACAAAAGGAAAAAATACTCTCCGCTAGAGGTCGTTGACCTGTTTGCCGACATGGCGATTGTTCCGAATTTTCTCGCTCTTACACCCTTTCGCTGCGCTTTATTTTACCAATTTATTTTATTTCACGTTTAAATCTTTTTAGAATGAATTATTTAATCAAATAAAATAATGATTTGATACAAAAATCTGAATTAAGATCGCCATTTTTTTTCTTTTTTACCGTAGCAAAATATATTTAATGCAGTAATTTTTATGTAACTCATTTAGAATTGCCGATGTTATTTTTAGAAGTTTTCATAATTTTCTGCATCTAATTTAATAGGCTGTTTATGATTTTTCTCTCTTTTTTTGTCATCTTCTCCCCCATTTTTCCTTTCCTTCACTAAACTCGAACCATTAAGAATGTTAAGTAATTAGCGTAGTTGAATTTAATTTGAGGCTTTTCCCGTGCTATTTTCTGGTTTATTTAATTTCAATATTCACTAAAAATAAATCAAAAAGATTTTTAATCGAGTAAACGAGATGATTTAAGCGGACTCGAATCCGATTTCTTGTTCGTAAGAGAAGCTTTAACCTACATTTCCTATTTAATATCAATGGCTTCTACTCTTCGAACCCCTCTCCCGATCTCTCTTCCTTATAATATTTAAGGATAATGTATATATTTTAAAATATTTATAATTAAATTGCGGTTGTACTTCTGTATTTTTTTTCTTTCTTTCTTTTTAAATCGCTAATACACGGTTGAATGGAGGAGGATGCAAGCTTGAAATTATTTGTCTCTCAGAGTGTAAGTAAAACTTTTCAAGCCAAACTCCGTGCCAAAGTTGAAAGATGATAACCCCAATTTATCAGATCGAATGCTTTTTTAATCGTATATATTTGGACATTTTGATTAGATACACGCTTTAAATCAAAAGATATGATAGGCGAGTAACACTCACTCATAGGAGGTAGTAGAAACTATTAAAATTCGGAAATAAGTTTTCTGTCAGGAGGGATATTATAAAAATATCTTTAATCGATTATATATTATCAGGAAGAAAGTTTTGAAATTTGAAGATAGAAAATGGAATTTACTTTTTGAGAAAAAGATTCCAATCAGATCAAAGTCTGTTGTCTAGAACGTTTCCTGTCCATTCCTATTGTTTTATGTTGTACATAACCTTGTACTTTGACAGTTCGACCTTCAGACCTAAAGTAGCCTAGTCGATCACTGGATATAGAAAAGGTCTATTTTGTAAAAATCTAACTTAAAATGATAGTAAATCAATTTAAAGAATCGTCATCGTATGTTTAAAATGTACCGCGCGCTCATTCCCCGTAGGTATCATCGCAGCAACGGAAGATGGCAATTCTTATAACAGGCAGAATCATAAGATAAATCGGATATATGATGATGAAAGTTGTTTATAAAAGTTATAGAACTAATCATATCACAGTAATGAGATTGTAATTGTATAACCTACTTAAGAAGTCGAGTGTGTGAGTGTGTTAGTTTTCATATTCCCTTGAAATAAGTAGATTTATAATTTTAATAGCTTCCTTAATGAAAACTTTTCTTAATCGTTATATTATCTATCTATTTAGAATCGTTTTAATCTTCCTTAAATTTATAATATACGGGATATATGCCACCATAGGGATCTTATCGTTTCGAAAATATAATAGGCCAATTATAAATTGTAATATCTTTAAAGTAATGCTCTGTTTATATTCGTTTCTTTTACCAAAATATTTACATGTTTTGTGGTTCAATATTTGCTTCGTTACGTTGTACAGTAGATCTTCTTCATAAACTATATGGTTTTTATATAGGCTACGTGTGTTGTAAGCGTACAAAAGTTGCACCTATTGTATATTGTGTACGACCCGCCTACGTTGGAATTTCATTGAGAATTTTTCACCCCTGGCTAAAGCTAGCTAATAAAAGTACAATTTTATCGACATCAATAACTAAGTCGGTTAGTACATAAATTTACGTGAAAATACGTCATCAATTGTTGCTTTTTTTTGTGGAATTTTGCTTCACTTTATCTTAATAATGTACTATATTTTAATATGTTTTTCCCCCTCTTTTATTTAGATATGTTTTATTTTTTGTATTCAAAGTATAAATTTTATAATGGTGAAACGTGTCATATAAAGATGAACAAATTTATGTTACGCGACTCATCAATAATGTTAAATCTGAGTAATGTCCCTCCATGAAAAAGTTTTCATAATTTCTGTTTCGGATGATATATGGTTTTAATATTTTATATTTCTACAGTTCGAATTTTATATTTGCTAACGGTATCCATCTATCCCATTAGGTATTTAAGGAACCAGGGCATGGGATCTGAAGAAAGTTTTACAGGAGGGAGACTAAGCTTGAAGACGTATATATTTTTTTATTTAATTATTTAATTTTTTTGGGTATTCACGAGAAAATTATAAAATACAGGATTGCATCTATACAGTATATTACTGTATACAAATTTACAATATAAAGGAAAGAATTTTTTACTCGATTCCACGGGGAAAGTGCATTTACTTCCCTTTTTGAATGCCCACAACAGTGTCTTAAAAGAATGGAAAAATGAAAAAAATCGTGTAAAATTTAACAATTTTTTCCAATAAATTTAGCAAATTAATTTTTGTTAAATATAAATTTCAAAAATAACTTCTTTTTTTTCTGGTTTACCGTTAATAATGTGGAGAAAGCTCTTATTAGAATTAAGGTCACGTTCTCAAACGGAGAAAGTGATCTCGGGTGATCTTGACACAATATGACTTTTACATATTAGCAACAATTACGAAAGATAAACCTAATATACGAGCAATAATTTATTTAATAATTAGAAAGAGTTTAATACGAGAAAAATTGCAAGAACCTTGCAAGAAATTGCCTTTTTACACAGTTTCTTACGATTAAAATTAACGAAAAAATAAAAAAATCTTATCTTAACGCACTTTTCTATCAGTTAATTCCACGTCAAAACAGATTTATTTTGAAATGGGAATTGTGTTTACGTGTAAATTATACAACTTTTATGATTAAATTAGATGATACCCATCTTTATATTGTCTAATTATATTCTATTTATAAATATAAGTAGGCGATGCAGAATTAATTAGTTCGTGCATAATGATTTATAAATAAATCTCGATCGTGGGAAAATGTCGGCCGGTTTAACGACCAGCCAATATATATTATTAACATTGTATAACTTAGAATTTACTTTGTGTACTCGACTGTACTTACGTATGGATGTAATAATATAGGAAATACTTCCGTTGTTTACGGGAATGAATTCATTGATTACGTAATTCAACAATTACAGTATAGTTGCAACAAGTTTTGCTGTTAAATAAGGTAAGCTTCTATTTGTCAGAATCGATTAAAGTTATTTTCAGTTTGATCAATTGATTGGACGATAAGACGTAATCGATAGTGGATGTATCACACGCAATTCACAGCTTTTCGTGTTGATGCAATAACAACGTTACTAACTTTTTTTTTAATGTTTTCATGTTCAGATATTTGCTAGAAAAGTTCTCTTTCACCTACAAGGTCTCTAATTTTACAGGTGGGTTAAGTGTTTATTCCAATAATAAGGTTAATTTTCATAATTTTAGCTTCCTTGTTAATGAATTTTATCAACGTGATACTTAGGGAACTTCGTGGAAATTGTGAAAAAGGTATTGTTAAGTCTGTCCCCAAGATATTGAGTTGAGATACACGCGATGAATATTTGATATTTAACAAATTTATTTTATTTTTAACACTACACGAAGCAAATATAAAGAAAAAATAAGGATGAATATGTAATTTTAAATCGGAAATTAATATGATTTTTTTTATTTAGGATAGTAAACAGAAAACAAGAGAAAAAGCAAGTGTTGGACACCTTAAGTACGAAAACACCTCCGTAGCTTATAAGTTATTCCCCTCCTTTCCAGACCTAACTAATCGATCAGTAACCCCTATCAGACATTTGGCGTCTGACAGGCGGGTTTAGTTATATAAAATTTCTTCTTAATTAGAGTATAGTAATATTTATTTATTATTCTATTCTATTCTAATCTATGGCTTAGTCTCGATGATATAATATAGGAATTGGTCTAGTGTTTCTGTACGTATGTATGTAATTCTACTTAATGTTTGAATATCGAAATTATTTTAATGCTTTGTACGTTATCGATCACACTTAGCACCTTAAATCAATATTAGGGATACAATAGTTTAAAGCCCTAATTCGGACTATATTATGAAACGTTGATGATGACTGGCGAATCGATGACGAAACACACAGTTTAGCCTTGTTTTCATACTTAATTTCGTAATAAATATGAAAACTGCTTATTGTTTTATATAATGCAAGCGTAATTTATTGAATACGTTTATCATTTTGTTAAATATTACTGTTATTTCTTACTTTGCAAACCGAATTTTTATTGTCTGAGCGTTTTAGTGTATGGAACTTTTATTAAGTGGAAGAGCCGTCGGCAATCAATTCAAACGTATACGGTAAAACCTGTCTAAAACGGAAACCGGAAAGACATTCGATCGGTTTACGCAGGTTACGCCGTAATCGTTATAAAGTTATTAACACGAAAGCCATGAATTAATGATTTCGATTTTGAAAACGGATGCCATCCGCGCTGTTTACATTTGAAATTTTCTCGACTAAATTCATTCAGGATCAACTAATTTTCGCATGGCTGTCTATCCGTAAAGTATCGATCGAAAATATTAATCTATATATCCGAGTAAAAAGAAAAAGCGCATAAATTTTCTCCCGTTTTATTAAATCAGAAATACCAAAATAGAGAGAAGCCCCCTTAACGTTTCTCAATGCTCGTTTTGGCAAACACATTTATCTGCAAGTCTCGTGTACGGATGAGAATAATTTACCGTCAATAGCCTTTGATTCCAGACATTATTTACAAATGTAAATCCATGTTCCAGGGCATTACTCCCAATTCATTTGCATTCATAAACCTACACGGCATCATCCCACCATTGCCACTCTCCCCTCTGAAATAAAAGGCGAATTTCATTTTCTAATTTTAAATTTATCCGCATCATATAATAATTTTAATATATTTCTTTTTTTTTCCCCTGTGTTTACGGGCTTATCGATTAAGGGTTACGCGTTGCAGGCTCCTATTGTGTTTTTAAAAATAGATCTTAAGCTTAACAATGTCCTGGCATACAAAGGATATTTAAAAAAAAATTAAAATAAGCTTCTATTAAACACAATTTAAACTGGTTACATTAAAAATAATTAATAAAATAAGTTTATAAAGAACATTTAAGCCTTTCCTTTGAGAAGAGACATCGGTTTGATCCTGAGAAAAAATTTTTCAATATAGACGGCGTCACCTTGTCGTAACGGAAAATGAATGACGTCACTAGTTGGTGTCGTCACGTTCCGACAAATCGACCAATGACGTACTATAACGAGCACGTGTTCTTTTACATTACATTCGATAATCTCGTCTTAAGGGTCGATTAATAAATAAAACTTTTTAATCGGAAGTTTCTTTTCGTAAAATAAATCTGACTAAAAATATTACAATGGTTGGTTAGTGATTGTTAGCGGAGGCGAAGGGCCAGTAGTAGTGATGGGAGCAACGGTTTCTATAGCAACGCGACTGGTGACAAACACCCACTGGTCAGGCGGAGAAAAATGGGAGTAATGTAAGTGGGATGGCAAACCTTTCAGACTTTCAGGCGAGGGCGTCAAAAGTCAAAGGTCACCATGGTTAATACGTGACCTTGCCAATTTAGTCGAGATAGAGTGAAGAAATTTGATTATTTTTTTTTTCTTTATTTAGAATAACACAGAAAGCTATCTTCAGACTCTCCACTCTAATTTTTAGTTACTTTTAAAAATTTTTAAATGGGACAAAATGGCGACGCCTTTCAAAGTTTGTTCTATTAGATGAATGTGATGCCCAATTCTGCAGCGAAAACTTCACGTGGCCTCCTCGGATAAACGCGTAAAGACACAGAAGAGTAATTTATAAACAATACTAAACACAACGTTTAGTGTTACATTCCGTTGCAGCCACATTCTCGTGTGTGGCACATAGTTTTACACTTTTTAATGGTGTTGTTGGTCGAGATTAGAAGGTTGACGCCCGCATCTGATCATCGTTTGTTAAACCGAGGATACAGTTTGCGTGGCTCAAGATAAGAAAAATGAAGTAGGCCTAGTAATATCAGCTCAACAACTTCGTCTATCTAATTGATAAGATAACGTCTTTCCGGTTGCTCATAATGATAGTAGGAATGAAATATCGGAGTCGAGGATTTATTCACCGGAAATATCCTAATATTTCAGATTAAAAAATAATGAAAGGAACAAATTAGATGGCTAAGAAGAAAGGAAACAGACACATCTGTACGTGGCACGAATAAGTGCAGCAATGTCGATGCCATTAGAAGGTTTAGCATCTAGTTGTATCCGCTGAATCTTCTATATCGCGTGACTTTAGAAATATTATAATAATTACTATAACAGAATGTATTTTATTAACAACAACTTAAGAATTTCTTAAGATAATGAATTTGAATGGTGGACCAGAAACCATTCGGCAAATGAGTGTATGTCATATTCTAGTCGGTTTGTTTCAAAGCATTTAGTATTTAAGTTAATATATTCCTTTGATGGGGAGTAAGAACAATGGAAACAGTGAAATCCCACGCATATTATGCCTGGGGAAATTTTCCTAGCCGCACATTCTGTTTAAATGTAACTTTCTTGATTATTCTGCTTGCTGCTTCTGGGATTAGCTCAAATGTTACCAGATACCTGGTTTATTAAACAAGTTAAATGTTTATTTCGAAATTATTACTGGAAAGATAAAAGTAATTACAAAAATATAATTTTCGTCTTATTAAAGACAATGCGTTTGTTTTGTTTATTTTGCCGAAAAGACAGCGTAAATATTACTTGAGAAGCGATAAAATTAGTATTTCTCACCATTGTGATTTAAGATAACAATTAAATCGATTGTTTGATAATTTTTTAAGCATACAATGAATGGTGTGTATACTAGTACAATGACCATTGAATTTCACGAAATTTTTTGTAAAAATTAACATTTTTTATGTTGATTCAGTGATGTAACTATAAGGTTTTCCTCGGGGGACGATGTGTGAGGATAGTTTAAAAAGTACAATCAGAAGAAAGGAAAATTAAAGTTACCACAAAATCTGTGGGAGAATAAGATACCATAAAGTACCATAACATTCAGAGGATGATCTTGGAAGATTGTGTAGAAAGTACAGTACAATCAGAATGAAGAAAAATTAAGCATACCATAAAGCCTGTGGAGGGATTCAACCTCCCTACAAGTACGCCGCTGTATTAATTAATTAATTAATTAATTAAATCATTACAGATAAAATTCTTAATCTTTACTGAAATTTTTACATTCTCTTAATAATAATTTATTATGATTTTCAAAATTCCTACTTTTCTGTACAGGATTTTCCTTTAAGTCTACCGTTGTGTAATTAGTTTCCGAATCAGATATTCAAAACGCTTCTTAATAGATTCGGAAAAGCTATATCATGTTCACAAGGAATAAAAATACTTTGATTTGTTAATAAAATTCTCCATTTATTTGAGTATCAATTTTCGTTATAGAGTATCTTCTTCCGCCGTATTTCTTCCGTCTCGGTCAGTGCTCTTTTTTTTAGAGTGATAACCAGACAATGCAATATAACTAAAAAGAAAACAATTTGGCAAACGTCCAGTGTTTCATTGAACTAAACAATATTCTATTTTAAGTAATTTCCATAAGCGATATGGAATCAATCTTCTTACTCGAGATAGACTCGAGCTGACAGAATTTCTTAAGAGGGAAGAGTTATTCCTACAATAGTAATAACTAAAATATATTCCATTGTTTTAATCCCCCTCTACACTACAAAAAAAAAATCGATTTATATAATTATTCCAGTATTACGTCTCGGTTCCGATGGCCACTTCCGGTTGCTTCACACCTGGTGTCGGACTAACTTCCGGTAGAGGGTGGCAAGTGACTGAGACGATCGTCATCGATTGGAGAAAGTCAAGGTTCTTGACCTCTCAAAAACTTAAGTTTTAAGGTTTTATTCGTATACGATATTCGAAAATGTTACGTCACAATAGTATAGATCTTAATCTGCGTTTTGCGGTTTTGTCTGATCCCTAACGATCTTAATACAAAATATTTTATAGTAAAAATGCTTCTTAGAGTCTTAAAAAAAAAACGATAAATTTCATCGATTTTACACTTTTTCTATATAAAATTTCAGGGTAAATTTCTCGCCGTATGTAGATTTAAGCAAATGATTCATGCAAGCTTGCAAATTACCTTTATCTAGAAGACAAATCTAGATTATTTGCTTATTATTATTGATATTTAGTTGAATTTTTCGTAAATTTTACATGGTCTTAATTTAGATTCGGATACTTAACGAATGACGGTATTTGTTGAGCCGAACGGCGTTCTCTTTGACCTCAAATTGTTTCTAAGTATGACCTTGTCTACGTTGACCTCTTTAGTTCATACGATGTAGTTGGGTGCGGTCCAGTAATGAAGCGCGACGAATTCGACGGAAACGGAAATGAGGAAGCAGAGATGATTGGCATACAATTGAGATAAGAAAATCATCTCGGAATTTTTGACGAAAATTTTTCATCTAACGATTTATGTATTTTTAACGCTCTATGACTTTTAGAAGTGTTAATCTTTTATCTCGGCCATTCGCTGAATGCCAATGATCTAATTTCTAGAATCTCGGGTTTACAAACCTGATCGGAATTCAGATTGATCCGCGGTTCGAAAATCCAAACTGCAGCCCTCAGATAATAATAAACGATAGTTAATGAGGTGTAGTTTTTTTTAATCGAGGATCATTATTAATTAAAGCTATCCCATCAAAATTGGCATAACTCTATTAGTTGTGGACTGTTCCTTTAAGGCCCTAAGAGCAACTTTCACATAAGATCTTTTATGCAAAACTGTGTTTTTGAATGAAAAAGTCAATAAAATCCTTAAATAATACCAAATTTATAATTTATTTATTTAATTTGTCTAGTTAATACACGACTTGCAACGTTAAATTTCATGGTTTTAACTGTACAAATTGATCGATAATGCTGCCATAATTGTATAATAATGCCTTTTTAAAAGCGTATTGTCTTTTTGCTACGTAATTTTCGAGGCCTCTCGAAGCGACGAGGCCCTCGTCACGCGCGCCCATTGGGTAATCCTCCGCCGAACCTTATCTAATGGTAAAAGTTACAAGAAGAAAATAAAATTTATTACGAATAATTTTTCTAAATATACTTTTCTAATATTGTAAAATATAGGCTGATAATAATATTGATCGATAGGGAAATTTAACTTCTTTCTGACGATTTAAATACGGGTTGTTTGTGTGTTTAGAACTTCTTTGCAGATCGATACGTACTTTGCAGGCTCGAAATAAGGTTTTAAATTCGTTAATATATAAATAAATGCGATTTTTTACGTGAAAAATTCATCTCAAAACTACGAAATCCGGCCTTTTTTTTTTTTAAAGTTAACGATTTGCAAGACGATATCGACATTCTATTTCTGATCGTATCTATATGATTCATATGCCTGCACTTAAAAGTTAATTCTTTCTGTCTCATCTCGTCCATCTTAAAATTCTAATTTCGATTCGGCTCGGATCTTTATTATATATATATATGTATTTAGGGCGTTGGCATTTCTATCGATAATCACGTGACGGGACCGAACGTGCGAAACGAACTCTTCGGTCAGTTCCCGCAATTAAGTAGCGCTTTTATCTCACGCTCCCTTAAATCCCGACCTCTTTTATAAAAGTCGCGTCCAGTTTTGAATCGGACGGAATTCAAACGTAACCGACTCTATTAGCGCGGGTTGCCGCCAGGTGGACGAGGACGTTGAACCATGCCGGAAGTGACGTCGGCGAGTTGGAATGCGTCTGAACCCAGTAACTCCGAACAATTCGTCACGAAATGCGATTTCTTACACTCGGCGCCGAACGAAATTTCGAAACGATCCGACGAAATAAATTCTAATTTTTGTAACCATTTACATATTATTTTTGTTTTGTTTTGTTTTGTTTTTTTAAAGTAAATTTCAGTTCGGGTAGCGTTCGAAATTTGACCCATTTTTTTTTTTTTTTTTTTTTTAAATGTCAGCCTTAAGAGTGGTCCAAAATTTGCTCTTTCCTGCGTTTTTGGCAATTAGCGGATGAGATCGTTTAGGAAAAAGGCCAGAGTGGTAATTTATAGATTAGAAAATTTGTCTTCTCCGGATATTTTTAGTGTTGCGCAATAAAATCCGCAATCCAGTGGGGAAGTTCAATAAAAAGCATAGAGAACGTCTGGCTAACTCACTCGAAAATTCATAAAAATCCACGGTATCCGAAAAAGAGGAGAGAAAACAAATATTTGGGATTCCTAACAAAATTTCCTAATAATAATAATAGTAATAAAAATAAAATTAAAATTACTGCTCTGTCTCTCTTAAGTTCACAATTAAAGGGTGATTCTTAATTTCCGAAAGCTGCCGAAATTTTTCGAGTTGATAAACTCTACTTATCGTGAAATTGCCCGATCGCGCCACGTACAATTAATCATTCAAAAGACGGAAAAAATACCAAAAATAACAAAAATAAAAATATATTAAAAAAAAATTCGTTGCTGTCGTTAAAACGGGGAAGAAAAAAAAGCGGTCGGAGACTAAAACCACCAAGACATTCCAGTTTAAATTCCGTAGAAAAAGTCAAATCGATCCGGTAGCAGTCGAGCAAAATAAAAAAAGAAAAAGAAAAAAAAAGCAGAGCCGCATTGCTGCCAAAGGGAGGGGATAGAAAATGGCGACACACGTGGTGCGCGACCGGCCGAAACGCACGGGTCATGTGACCTGCAGCGCCGTCGCAATACGGCACGAGACGCGACTCCTCCCACCTCGAGATGCTCCAGTCGAGTCGCACGTGTGCAAGGTAAGAGTATGGGAGTAGGTTAGGCTTAACTAACCTTCCTGGTATTAACGTCGGGGGGAGGGTGTATTTCACGGGATTTTTAGTAAGTTTAGGAAGGACGCACGCTCGGGTTAACGTCGCCTGTTAAATTCCGGTGTCTTGGCCAGCTTGCAAGGTGAGTAACGCAGTTCCATTCCAGTCATTGCTCGCAGTTTAAAAGGTGAGGTTAGAACGTTCCGTAGTTTAATGTTGACACCCGGGTAGAGTGCAGAGTATTATCGATTCGTCATCGAATCGTCTACGCAATTTGGCGTTAAAGTCGGCGCATGGTTTCTTATTGTGTAACTGCGTCGCACGGATCGACAGCGCGTAATGTACCGAAATTCCTATCGTATCCTACGCACGCCGAAGGAAAACGGGGTACGTTAGCCCCGGGCGTAATCTGTCTTGCAACGTCTGGATCTGGTCGGATAATGCCATATTAAACAGTTAAATGTTACGACGCGGAATGACGCATTGAATCGGTTCTTAAATATTCACAGCATTTCCGGTGCCGCCTACCGTATTACAGATCACAACTGGGGGAATTCCTTTGACGTCACGTGACGGAGCTTAACGTAAAAGGGGGGAAACGACGGAAGCTGGGTTTATAGACCGAACGGGGATTTCGGGACGTCTTCGAAGGTCCGAGTGACTCTAAACGCAAAAGTTGGTCGAGCAGACGACGAAAATTTTGCGATGAACAACCTAGTCGACGGCTATTACGCATGCGCCTAACCGAGGGTCGTTTCTGTACGCTTCACCTGAAGTCTCGATCGTCTCTGCCCGATCTAGAGGGATTTTTTAAAAAGTCTCCTCTGTTTTTAACGGTGAGTTTTTAATTCATTTACTTCCAAACTCTTAATTGGGGTTGCAAATAAACGTTACGCTTAAAGTAGAAATGATATCTTCACACGGGTGAAGAGGAATACGCAGTTGGGTAAGGATTGTATATTACGCCTTCTACAAGTTGTAGTTAAATTGTTCTGTGTTCTTTTTTTACTTTTTTAAAGAAGTGTACGGTAGAGTAGAGAATGACGAAACAGAACTAGCTGCGTTCCGATGTTGGAAAGGCATTCTTACCCCTAGGCACAATCCCTTAAAGGTCGCTGCCCGTTTTGTATCAAAGGGTTAAAAACAACGCGTCGCTTCCACTAGAAAAATTTGTAAAAATTGTTAATGATTTTGGCCATTCCGAGAATCGTTGCGTGGAACGAATGCGTTTGTTTCACGAAAACACTCCAGCAAAATCCAAAGGTTAGTTAATATTGTCTTGCAGAAATCTCCGAGAAATTTGTAAAACTGCTTACGAATTTGAACAGGTGCCGCCTGTAACGAGGGTGTACGACTGTCCCGTTTCTTCTTAAAAAAAAAATTCTTTATAAAATTGATCGATCGATATTTAGTTTTGTTTAAAAGATTTATATATTGCTACAATTGATCGACGCTTGGTGCAATATCTTTTTTTTTTATTTATTTATTTCCACTCCTTTGCCTGGCTGCTGCTACAGGTGCGCGATTTCAAAACTTTGATTCTTAGTATGTCATATATTTAAATTTTAGTGTTGTGGTTGGGAAAAAAATCAACACCCTAGACAAGTCGAAATTGGGTAGTGACGAATCTTCCGAGAATAGTTCCCTGATTCATGTGTTGTTGTACGTTGAGCTCGGATTCTTGTTACGTATTTCACGTGTAACATATTTAAAAACTAAGTTTTCTATAAATGTGCTAAGATAAGTGGTCTATTATTTTCCTGTCTTGTTCGAAATTTCATTAGTATTTCCATAGTTGGATCTCTCGTGTTCTTAAGTAACTTTGTACTCAGTGGTGTATAATTACGCACCAGCTTAGTTATGTGCTTCGTAATGGCACTCAATTCTGCAAAACTGAAAAAATTTCAGATGTAAATTTCAGCCAGCGGAGAAATGGTCGAATTTCGGGTTAAAAAAAAAGGGGAGAACTATTTAATGATGCTTCTGATCATGCGAACGGTAGTTAGTATGCGTGGTACAACCCGTAACGTGCAAGAAACACGAAGGGAAAAAATAGTAGCCATGAAACATTAATGGGTTGCGTATAATGTTGGCATAGCAACTGGAAATTATGCTTGTCGAGAAAGGATCATCATTTTTTTTTGCGCATAAGTAGCGTTATGATTTGGCAGTCATTAGTCAGAAAATGGAACTTCAACGATTATTTCGAATCGAATATCGATTTAGTCGCGAATTGGTTGAGCTTGCGCCATTTTTCCCCTTCCTTCCTTAGGCGCAAGAGTTCTATAAACCCTGGCTTCTTGTCCTTAGGTCGAATACTCAAACGATTAAATATTAAAGAATCTCGGGCAGTTGGGAAACCAGTGATCGTGTAATCAGAGAAAGCGCTGATATCATACTGTTTGTCAGACCTGTTACCGGCGTGTTTTATATATAGTTTTTTTTTCCAGAAGTGCGAAGAAAAAAATTTCAGTAGTAGTACTTCAGTTGTCTTTACATGCCTTATATGACGTAACAGTCTGCAGTTAGAGTTTTAGATCTTAATTAGGCTGCCAGATTTTTCGCTTGGAAAAGAGGAAAGAGTGGGTGTTCCAACAGCAATTCTAGAATAAACTGTTCTATCTACAATTATTGTAATTGTAATAATTATTGTGTTCCATTTCTCATGACCCTTTTAAAAAAATTTGCAATACTGTTTTCTAAACGTCTTTTCAATTGGGTTCAAAACAGGAACCACAACACAGGATACCCGCTAGAGTTGTACCAACGAAGACTATTCGATGAATATATACGGTACTAGACCGTGCTTTGTTTAACTAAGCGGGAGAATGTGCCATTATTATTATTATTTTATTTTATCCTGTTATCGGATGTCCGTAGCACCGCAAGGTACAGACGTGGGAGTATCGTCGTCTTCGCTGTGCCGTCTGAAGAAAAAAAGCTGTCACCGTGCTGGTTCTTCACGTGAGACGTCCACAGTAGCTGCTGGACACGGCACAAGATATCCGTCGATTCTTGTGCGTGTGACAGCGGCTATCGTATAACGTCATGTATCATCCAGACGGAAGAAACGATTAAATAAGAGAACTCCCGGTTCGAATACCGGAGATGATCTGCACAAAAAAAAAGGTAAGATCGATTTTTTTTATTCCGCTATAGGCAAATAATCCTTGTTAAACTTAGCCCATGTGGTTTCTGTCCCACGATGCATTTTCCGAAACGTCTCTCTCTCCTTTAAAATGACCTTGTAATATCTAATTGATCACGTGATAATAAATGGGTATATCACGTGATAAAAATAATTTTTTCCCCGATTTAGTTATTTATCACGCATGGCCGCCTTCGCAGTCACGTGACGCATTCGGTCCTAAGAACGTACGATGTTTACCGCGTACTTCGAGTAATAAACCAAAAAGCGAGCGCTGAAACTCGATTAATTATCCATTTTATGTAATTATATTTAAGGAAGAGCATCGGTAAGGGCCCGAGTTTGTAGTGCGACGAAATACAGCGAAATAATGCCCCTGGTGTTCTCAGGTACTTACATTTACTAAAGATATGAATAAACGTAAGCTAGTTTAAACTATATTACGGCAAAAGGAATAGCAATGTTCATCCCAACGCCTTCTCTCGCAATATTTTATTCGTCAGTCTAGACGGTGGGAGTGAAAATTCGATATTGCCAGTTCACTGACACTTTGACATTAAAACCGATGAGAGCGTAGCGCCATCTTTTGTCCGGTAAGCAAAATTGCCGCTTCGGGTTTCTCTCGCATGCTTCGGTTAAATTAACTGCCTGTAAAATTATAATTTCGATTAAAAACGCACACCACATTAAAAAAACAAACGTTTTAAAAATATATTGATAAATTGACGCCATTTTTATTCGGTAATTTAAGAGAAATTCATTGTTATGCGTCATAAAACACTTGCGAAACGTTATAATTATGAACTATTGATGATATTTAGAGTTTTTTTTTCGGCTCGAGCGCAGAAAAATATTTGCCTTAATCCAATAATCATAATAATGATTAACTTTTTAGTAAGAATTGATTTTTTCCTCCCCCTGCCAGTTCCAATATTTGATTACATCTAAGAATGTGACTTTAAATATCTAAATTTGTATACGATAATGTTAGAAATTCAGATTTGAAATATGATTTAAAGCTATGTTAAAGTAATATAAGGAAGTTGAGAAATTGACCATTGCCAAAATCCAATTACCGACCGCGTTAGGATGCTAATGTTCGTGATGCAATCGATTGGACTATTGATAAGTACCAGCTTAAACTAGTTAACTTTTATTTTATGAATTAAAAACTTTGAACGTATCGGATATATATATATATATATATTTTTTTTAAAGAAACTGGCAACGCTGTTGCAGAACTTTCCCGGCGTTATTTGTTTTCATCCGTAATAATTGCTACTTTTAAGTCTCCAGATTAGTTCGTTCGGGAGATATTAAAGGAGTGGGCCGTATCTTCCGAACAAACGGTACGATTTTCCTGAAAATTTCTAGAAACATTTCTTCTTAATATGCAAACTTCACTGCAAAATTTCAGAAATTTTCGACAAAGGACACAGGAGTTATCAAGCTTGAAATCGGGTGAAGAAAATCGTTCCCCTACACATATTACTACCATAATGTGGGCTACTTTGGTTTTAAAGGAGTATATACTTTGCATCACTTTGCAAATCACATTTACCGACCTGTGGTAAGTAAAATATGAATCATTTAAATATATTTTATATTTTACTTGCCACAGCTCGGTAAATGTGATTTGTAAAGTAGCCTGTTTAAGAGCAAAGTTCCCCACATTACGGTAAATTTCCCCACATAAACAGAAAAATTCCCCTAACTTTTTCTGCATTTCTCACGTTTTAAGATCTCCGAATCAAAAAATGTAAAAATATTAGGAAGGCCATTTTTTAATTAATAGATATACTTTCCCTATGTTTTATATATAACAGCCGAGAAAGTAAAAATCCCTTATAAACAAACTTATAAGTAACAAGAATATTTCAAATTGCAATTAAATTTGGCCCAACTGGATAAGTTGCAAAAACATCAAATCCATTTGGGCCAAACCTTAGTTGCAATTTAAAATATTTTTGCCATTTTTGTCTTTGAAGTGCTCACACGTAACTTAATCTACGTAATTTTTGCTCCCATTTGCATTCTTAGATAAATAATCATTAAATATTTTGATTTTAAAATTCGTACGGCAACCTCCAAGTGCCAATATTGTTTTCTCGATTCATTCAGACTCGAGCCGTGTGTAAATACGTTTTATCAAACTGTGTGACATTTTATCGACCACGAATATCGCTCGGAATGTACACCAATATACAAACAAAGTGATATTGTTGTACCATTAAATACTTAAATTTCGCCAGTTTTTAAGCCCTGCTACTGATGCCAGCTCTCTATCTAAAGGAGAAATTTTGAATCATTGCCAAATTAAGACGGAATGCCTTAGTTAAGTGAACCCTGTTAGAAACAGAGGTCACGTGAAATTATCTTTCATTAAAATCGGGCTTCTGACCTTCGGTTTTCATTTTTGGCTCTGTTTTTTCGCGCCCATTCTTCAGATAATTCGACGTAAGATAGATTTACGAATACAGTATTACTCTGGAAGGAAAAATATGGAGTTTCGACATTCGAACTTGAATGTCGTTTCAAAACTCCATATTTTGAAACACGATCTTTCGTCATATTGAATTTCAAAGTTTTTTTATACGTTGAATTTACCGAAAAAAGCACTTATTTTTAGGTCAAAACTTAAGTCGGAGGGACCAAAACATAATTTGACTTCTGTTAAGTAAAATTATTGTGTATTTAGCGCTTTAAATAAGAAAATTTAGACGCCATTTTGTAATTATAGTATTACTTTCCCGGCTGTTATGTATAAGAGAGGGAAAGTATGACAATCGATCAAAAAAAGTGACCACAAAGATCTTTACATTTTTGGACTTCAGACCTCCAAAAATACAAAAGCAATAAAAAAAAAATACCCATTTTTAATGTATGGATGTTTGTTTGTGTTGGGGTACCACGATTTTGTTCACTCACTTTGAAGGTTAATAACTCCTGTGCCTTTTGTAAAAAATTTCTGAAATTTCGCAGTGCGGTTCGTGTATTAGCGGCGTTGATGCTATTAAATTTTGGTGGTTAAAGGTCGATGGGATGGCGAGATATCGGGGTCACGTGTCATATTTTTAGTGGGATCGGTCTTATGATTTTACTCGTTATTTACAATTAAAAATAATAATAAATAAAACTCATTTCTACCTTCAAAGTTAAGCTTTCTGCGTTTTTATAATAATAGTATAAAAAGTTTTTAATAAAAACCTCGTAACAGATGGCGCTACACACAATTTTAACTCTTGCCGGGAAAGTTATGCAACTCGTTGCTATGTGTTTTTTTGTAATTATCGTAATGTAAAACGCAAAAAGTTTTATTAAACAAATTAATCTTTGAAATTTGTGAAATAACTTAAGTTGCCGTGTCTTTCATCATATATCAGAAAATTCAAGCTGTTAAATTCGATTTTTAAGTATATTTTCCAGCTGGAAAAATTAATCCTCTAGCCAAGATTTATATAAATGAAATTTACACCTGTAAAATGTTTGAAATATATTTTAAAATATTAAACAAACTCTGATTATAATTATATTAATATATTTGTGCAGTGAGGATTGCGTAGTATTGGCAAGATATGCAACGTCTGTTAACAATAGTTAATTCGCATTGCAAAAGCTGTTTTTTTGTGTGTGTAATTTTTGAGAATTTAACAGTAAAACCTACATAATACGAGTATTTTTTCTGGTTTGGCAGGCTGTTTTGTACAGGTTTACTGCATATAAAATATATTTATTATCAATGGACTGAATAAATCAAATGGAATTCATACGTCTTGAATTTTTTTGTATAATAATAATAATTGTTTAAATTATTATTATAACCAATAAATACGGAAGTTAAATGAATTTATCGCATGAATAAATATTGAGTTAAAATTTAAATTCTCCACGAGAGATTCTAATACGGTGAATCTTGTATAAACCGGAATCGCACGGTACCGAATTATTTTTTCGTTTTAGACAGGTTTTACAGGTATTGGAATTCGACGTGAAGATCAGATTATATTAAACTCCAATATTATACTTGTAAAACCTGTAAATCTTAATCTTTATGATCAGATTTATAAAGAATATTCGAGTTTCCAACTGTAAAGGCTAAGATTATATCAATAGCTAAAAATTACAATATGTAAAAGTGGTATGATATAATCATACCACTTTTACATGTATGTGCTTATAGACCTTTTACACACACACTATCATGCTTGTAGGTACTGTACAGCAGTATATAGACATGTTAATCTCATGTATTTGTGTTTTATTATGTATGCCTTAGAAAACTCGTTACAATCCTCATCCTACTTCAAATATAAAACGTATTTGTCATTTTTCAAAGCTGGAATTTAACTCATTTTTCGGAAATTTATTCTAATCTAATAGAGCAAAGAATTTTTTCCTCCTCCAGGCCGGCTTTTTATGAAATTAGTTGATTGTAAAATGAGAGAAAAATCAAAGATTTTTCATTGGAATGAGGAAGTGATAATGTGTAAACAAATTGAGACGCATTTGTAAACAGCAGTTATCCGTGTTCATTTTTCAAATTGAAAGAATTTCCCACTAAAACATATTTTTCGGATTATTTTCTTTAAAAAACAATGCTGTTTTAAAATACCAAAAATTAATATCTGCTTTCAGTCGTTTATTTTCTGAGTATTTAATTTTAATTTATAACAATCAACAAAATAAAAGTTGTTCCATCAAATATTTCATGCACCGGAGATAACAGTTAATCTAACTTTCCTTTACAATACTCTGCAATTTGTGCTCCAAAGAGAGGAAAACGGAGCATTTTGCCCTCTCCGGGATAGTGTATAAACTTTCATAAATAATAATCGTAAAAGTGATTAAGATATGTAACCTTATACCTTCGACTTTGGGACACTGGTTTTTTTGTATTGATGCAAACTGTATTCTATAATCTAATTGTAAAAAACCCCCAAAATTTAACAATTAGATGTAATTGTTACCAAACTTTGTCCCTCGATGGAAAATTTTCTGCCCACGCCCATGGCTATACGTATGTATTATTGTGGTAAAGTATATCCCGTGCTATTCGTTAGAACATTGATACTATACCCATCTTGTGAACTTTGACTAGTAAAGATCTTACATCGGAATTATCTTACCATAACAATCATTGTACGATATGATTTGACCATGTTCAAAACCTGAACTTATTTCTATTCACTTTCTAATGGCGTTGCTGTGTTTTTATAAACTTAAATTTTCATAAGATTTGGAGCTGACGTGGATATTTGACCATAGATTTGAAATCTGTCGAGGATGTTCTTTAGTTTTCTTAGTTTATTTTCTGTTTCTATCAATTTGTAGTAGTTTCGTTGAATAGATTTTCATATGGCAAAAAGTCATATGTTTAGAATTGCTCCTGTTTATGATTTTGTGAGTGGATCGGTTTATTGAAAGAGACACGAGGCATTACTATTCCTTTGTTCTTCGTTCATATTTTGTATGCATCCGTGTATATTAATGCAAAGACCGCTCAAAATAAGAGAATATTAAGTCGTTCAGCGTGTTGAATTTGCTGTATAAGAGGAAGTGTTTTATAATTTTTTTAATAATAAATAACATGATTACTATTAATTATATTTTCATTAGTTCATTTCTATCAAAATATCTTAAAAGCCTGAAAAATTGAACCTAGTCAGCTGATGATTTGCAGCTTTTAAAAAACATCGAAGTTATGAATCATTACAATTAACTTTTAACTCGTGTATAATGTTCGTATTCCCAAGCAAGGATCAAGATTTAGAAAAAAAATTATACAGGTTAGAAATTCAGCTCTTTCAGAAAAAGTTGAATTTCTTTCCTGGCCACATATATGCCGAATTTTCATACTCGAGCACTTTCAAATTGCATTCTTCACTTGTACAGTACGTTTAGATATGTACTGTACAGTAAAACCTGCGTAAACCTTAATATTTTCCCGGCTTGGCAGGTTTCCGTTTTGAACAATTTTACCGTAAAAAAAAAGAATTGCTCCATTTCGAAGAATTCCTGTTTAGGCAGGTTTTACTGTAGTTTTTAAATTTTCTAAACGAAAAAAATTCACACTAAATGATCTGTACTGATTTTTTTTCGCATTAATGCATATTAATCTTCATTTGTCCGTTAAATATTAGTATATAAAGTAATATAAGACCGATTTCTTCGCCTAAGTTCTT